CCATCTCCTGATGCTCTCTGTTGAATCTGTGTTTTGAAGCCCCAAAGAACCAGGAGGCACCACCGGGAGCTACAAATAGCTTTCTAACAACCTTCACTCCACACCAGGCTGGGGGGCCAGCACAGCACTTCACACCCACAGGAAAGCCAGATGAACCACCGCCACCTCACAGTCAGAAATGCTAAAGCATCCAGAGCGCACTCACTGGAGAGTTTGCTTTTCTAGCCCAGAGTTCCACTAGCTCAGGCCTCTTGGAAGGTTGTCACAGCCACAGGAGGCAAATGCTACTGGGGTGTAAAGAAGAAAGGAGGTGAGTCAGGAATTTCTTTAAAGTGGTGAAGACCCTTGGAACAGGCCACTCCACTTTGAATGGGATATTATTTAAGGGCTGTCGTGTCCACCTGAGCCCCATCCCCGAAGCTGCCAGGCCTGGTTTCTGTCTTCCCAAACACCCCGTATACCTGTCTGGATGAAGGTATGTTTTATTACACCCAGGCTAAAAATCTCAGTGCACTCAGATGACATCTCAAAATAAGCATCATAACCCACTCTAATAACATTAGTCAATACCAGTATCTGGTTTTGACCCCACCCAACCCTACCCCACCCAGTGGGTTTTAGATCATCCAGTGTAAACAACAGTTGAGGTTCAAAAGTTGCAAATCAGGGGTGGCGGTGGAGGGAGTCCCACTTTCACTTCATAAGCAGGTAGTTCTTTGAAAGTCATGGCCCTGTATCCAGAAATACAGCTCTAAGAGCATAAGCACATCTGCCAGTCAATTACAGGAAGTAAGCATGGGGAGGTCGGGGAGGTGAGCATAGAGGGTGGGGTACTCACTGAGCACTGCTTCAGTGGTTAGGAGCCTGCACCCGCGTCAAATCCTGGGTGCAGCACTTACTGTCTGTTGACTTTGAGATAGTTATTTAATCTCATTGAGGCTCAGTTGTTGCAGCCGTAAAAGGGGGGGAATGCCAACTACTGCATAGGACTGTGGGTAGGTTAAATGAGCTAAATAAAAGGCCCCAAACCTAAAGCCCTTAGAGCAGCGTTGCACATAATCAGCAATGTAAGTGTTTGCTATTATTATTGAGGGCCTACCAGATCAGACACATCGTCATTTAATTTCATTTAATCAAGCCTCAAACCAATTCTTCCAGATACATAGTTATCCCCATTTTACAGATATAAAATAGAGGCTCATGAAGGTTAAGTACGTTATTCAAAGCCAAACAGCTAGGAGATGACAAGACCAGCACTTGAACCCAAGTAATCGTCATAATCATCATTATTATTATTATAATTACCATTTACTGAAAGACAGGTGGTGTGCTAAGCACTTTACATCAATTATCTCATCAAATATTCAAAACCACTGTGTAAGGAAAGAATTATTATAACTAGTTTACAAAGGAGGACACAGTGGGAAAGCTTAAATATGTTAGTGGAAGTCACACCATGAGTTAAGGAATAAAGGAGGGGCTTGGTCCCAGTTCTGACACCAAAACCCATAGTTTCTTTCCCATTAAAGTCTCGCCTGCCTGGTATTTGCTATAGATCTTGTATCTCCACGTGAAATTATCAAAGTGCCTGAACCCACAGTAAGTATCAAACACAGGCCTTGTTAAATGGAGTCCAGCAATGGCCCTCTCTGTTAAGGGCCCACCCGTTGTCATGAATTGTAAGGAGTTAGGGTACCCCCAAATAAAAGTCTAGTTTTCCAACCAGTTCCTTCTAGAAAGTTTGATTTGGGGGTCAGAGACAGCAACTTAAAAATGTCTTTAAACAAATCACAAGATGTTCTTAGTCATTAGACTTATCTTTTGGGAATTAGAACAACACAAATATTTTCTGAATTAAATCCTCGTCTGCTCACAGGGCTTCTACCATGGAAGGATCTTCCTTAGCAATATATGGCAGCCAGTTACACGTGGCCCTGAAAATATCTACCAAGTCACTATATGCTTTCTGCCCCTAACCTGTGTGGTGGAGATGACACGCAGAAGGGCAAGGGGTATCAACATCCTGAAACAAAGGTATCACAGCGGTATCATGTTTTAGTAAAATATCAACCTACCGAAACCTGGTGCTAATCTGGTGCTCACTTGGCAACTACCTGGGTCATCATGTTGACCTGTTTACTAGCCCTTTAAACTATAGTTTTCTATAATTTAGAGGAAAATGACTATTTGGCAGAACAAATTCCAAAGTGGCAGTTTATTAGAGGTGCCCTGTTGATTTTAATGAAATGTAACTCACAATTGCATTGCTGGCGCTAGAGAAGCACACCCCTTGTTAGGGTATTCTGCCCCATCAGAGGTCCATGACAACAGCATGCCCACCCCAGCTGGCTCAATGGCTCCAGAGGCTGGAAGGATGTCAGGGGTCGTGGGAGGGGGGCGGGGCGAGCTTGCCTTGGCCGACTCTGCATCGTAATCTCTGTCCACAATTTGGTCTGTGGTCGTCCTAGATAACACACAAGAATAAGAATTTGAGCCAGGAAAGTCTGGCTCTGACAAACTTCCTAGCATTGGGTAAAAAAACACCAATTAACTGAAAGGTCAGTGATTACTCCCTTCTTAGTGCAAGAGTCAACTTTGAAAACAGCCCTCGCCCTCAGTGAGCATTAGCTGTGCCAAAGAGTTTTCCTCAAAACCAGTTCAGACTTTGTGGATGGATGAAAGGAGGCCCCTGGTGGGAGCTGCAACTGACTCTGCCCAGAAAATAAAAGAAAACTGAACTTCCAGAAACTTGCAAAATACCCACAGCTTCTGCGTGATAAAAATTCAACACAAGTAAAAATTTTAGCTTTTCTAATTTCATCTTGCCTAAAATCCCCCCAAAAGAAGAATGCTAAAAGAAACTGGTAACTTAAACCTCAAATCTTAGGTTTATGTCTTGGATTTTGAAGAAATATTGAACTTTCTTCTTTGGATAAAAAGAGGCAAGAATTTGATATTCTCATTTAATTAAATACCAATGACTGCATATACACTGTAAAAAAGACACTTGATCTGATACCAACATTATGTCACTGTTTACATTTCTTAAGTTTAAAAACAGTGCTGCTGTTACTATCAAAGTGATCATCAGTGACACACAGAGTGGCCACCAGTGTGAACAATTCAACTGGGATGCCGGCATTGGCAACTGTAAGATGAGGAGCCCCTCCTCCCCAAATTCCTGACTGCTCTTAGTCATCGAAGAAGAATTCATTGTTCCCAGGCCAAGAGTCAGCAGCAAAACAGCAACAGTCAGGGTGTGGCTTGATGATGCTGCCCGCAGAAGAGCCCCGTGTGTGACCGCGTCAATTCTGAGACCCCGAAGACAGCCCAGCTTTCTTAGGAGTCCATTTATATGTATATGTGTGTGTGTGTGTGTGTGTGTGTGTGTGTGTGTGTGTGTGTGTGTGTGGCAGTGGGGTGAAGGAAGTCTCAAGATTAAGGATCCCTTTTTCTTATCAAGAAATTCATCCTACCCCATGGAGTAAAATCGTATTCCAGAGCCACTCATGAGCCTTCTTGGTGGGGAGAAGCTGGTGGCCTGACATTCCAGACCTCAAAGCACCCAGAGCCCAGAGGGGGAAGGAGTGACACAGCCCTCCCCTGACAGGGCAAGGAGAGCAGCGGAATGGCGTTTCAAGGGGGACAGTTTTGGGAGAAACTCTCTCCCGCATGGTGGCTGCACTAAATAAACAATTGTCGGATACAAATCACTGCTACTGTAACTAATAACTTCCCATTTGACACACATTATCTCACTTAACTGGATTATCCCCAGGAGAGAATTACAATTTTTATCCCCATTGTACAGGTAAAAGAAAAGGGGCTCACAGAGGTCATATAACTTGTCCATGGTCACATGTCACATGGGACAGAATCTGAATTTGGAGCTACGTTTGATGAGTTCCAACATTTGAACTAATTTCACCATTCCACAAAAAAAAAAAAAAAACCTACTTTTCGGACCCTTCGGATGTCCACTCTTCTCCCACCTCTCAGCTGTCGTTTGTTTTAAATCCACCTTTCTTATCTGCCCTGCATAACGGGCAGTAGTCTGTCCAGAGGCCCTGCTTGCTGGGATCACAGCCATCAGCACTCAGCATCGACCCCAGGGTGGGAACGGGTCCATGCTGTGCACTCCTAATATTCATGGTAGAGCTATCGTTCCCTGGACATGGTAGCTCTTCGATTTACTTTTAGAAATAAGAACATACTGGACCCTCTGGCAAGCACACCTGGCTTCATCCTTAAAGCAGAAGACCGAGAAGTTGACAAGACCATGGGTTCACTGGTTTCCCCCAAATAATTTCAAATGCCAGCAATGGAGGCATTTCCCAGAATGCAGGACCGAGGGGCATGGAATCTGGCATGCCTTCTGTTTTTCACTATGTGCCCAAAGACCGAATATCCGAGGCTCTTTTGAACACGCTCGCTATTCAGGCGACACGGCCAAGCATTGTCTCACTTCCCTTCTTTGAGACGCAGGAAGCCGAAGGGGAAGCCCGCAGGACCACCCTGGACCCTGGGAGCAGCCGGATCTTCTGCGGGCCGGACTCCATCCAGGCCCCTGCCTGCCTCGCCACCTTCTCTTGGCAGCCACACTTGGGTGACTGGTTCCCAGCCCTGGCTGAACATTGGAATCACCCGGGGAGTTTCAACAGTGCAGAGGCTGATGGAATTGGCCTGGAGTGCGGCCTGGGCTTCTGGATTTTAAAAGCGCCCCAGGTGATTCTAAAGTGCAGTCAGGGTCGAGGGGAGTCCCCTGCCCAGACCACCGTGGGATCCACGATCCGCCGACGCCGAGGTTCACGCCTCCGAACCTGCCCGCATTCCTCAAACCCCGGGTTTCTCTGCCCTGTTCCGTTCGGACCTCTCCCGGAGCCGCTCTGCGTTCCGCCCGCGCGCAGGAGCCCGCCTCCCCGCGCCCCCTCAATCGCGGCGCCCAGGACCCCAGAAGACTTCTGCCTGGAGCCAACACCCACCCCGGCGCTGGGACTTACGTGGCCGCGCGCGTGTTTGCAGATCTCGCAGCCGCGCGGAGCCAGAGCGACCGGCCGGGACGCCCAGGCCGAGGCTCCGGAGCGCGCGGCGCCCGCAGCGGAGAGACGAGCAGGGGCGGGAGCCGCCGCCGGGCCGGCCCGGAACGGAAACTGGCGGGGATGACAGCGGCGGCCGCGCCCCTCCGGCGGGCTGCGCGGAGAGGCCGAGGCCTTGCAGGTGCTGACGAGGCAGGGGCTGCACGCACAAGGTGGCCTCGGGTCGTCCCTGGGGCGCTCCCTGCCGGAGCACCGGTATCCAAACCACCGCGCGAGGGCGAGGGGGCAGGCTCGAGAGTTCGCCCAGGGGTGACACTGGGGAACTCGTCGCGCCAGCCCGGCACAGCCGCCGCGAGCCCAGGCCCGTCCCCTTAAAAGTGCCAACCCAGCAGATGCCACAGAGGCAACACCTGGGCACGACCCTGAAACTCTTGTTAGAACGTGACCCGTGCTCCCGTGGAAACGAGCTCCAAGCTATCAAACCTTTCACAGCAGAGCATTTACTTGGATTTATACTTTTTAAAATCTCAGGTTTTCTTCCTGTCCTTGACTCTGTTCTTGGCAGCGTACCTTTTATAGTCTAGACACTATACTGTAAGGACTCGTGAAGGAGTTTTTAACATACGAATACATTTCCCCAATAAAACGCTTTTTAAACGTTTTAAATGAGGAAGTTCTACATAAGGCATATCGATGCTGTAAAAAAAAAAAACAAACAATGCAGAGAGACCTGTGTACCCTTACCCCAACTTCTCCCAGTTGTAACATTTTGCGATACCACTACCAGCATGCTGGCCTCTATCCAGTCAAGACACACAACATTGCCATCCCTGAAGTACAGTCATGTGACCACATGCTCAGGAGTTCCAATTCCCCTCAAAGGCTGCCTTCTGAGAAAAGAAAAGTATCTTCATCACTCAAAAGTGAAACTTGGCAGATAAAAAACTGATGGGGTACAATGTGTAAATTTGTAAGCACCAACATGAAGACAAGATACTTGTCTTCAAGACACGAATTCCTCCAGTTTACCCTTATAGAAAGCTCTGGTAGAAAAATTTTTTTCTTCTGAGTTTTATCTTCCATGTCTTTTAAACGCTCGTGTTTTCCATATCCTGTTTCTCTGGCTGCATTCCGAGTAACTTCTTTAGTTCTGTCTTTCCATTCATCATCAGTTATTTTGTAAATACTTGGATCTGCTGTTTAGCTTATCTGTTGTGGGCAGACTCGTCCTCCCACCACCATGATATCCATCTCCTATACCTGGAACCTGTGAATATGGCAAAGGAGAATTAAGGTAGCCAGTGGAATTAAGGGTGCTAATCAGCTGACTGGGAGATGGGAAGATGATCATGGATTATTGGGATGTGGACTCAGGGTGATCAGAAGGGTTCTGATAAGAGGACGAGGGAGGCAGAAGAAGGAGAATCAAAGAGACAGCCTGAGAGGGACTTGGTCAGATGCTGCTGTCTTTGGAGGAAGGGGCCATGAGCCAAGGAAAGCAGGTGGATTCTAGAGTAGAAGCTGAAAAGGCCAGGAAAGGGATTTGCCTGTAGAACCTCCAGAACAGCGGTTCTCAACCTGTGGGTCGCGACCCCTTCTGGGATTGAACGACCCTTTCACAGGGGTCGCCTAAGACCGTCGGAAAACAAAAAGATAT